ACTGCATCCACGCGCTCAGGTACAAGTACTACAAGTACTACAAGTACTACAGTACTACTACTACTACAAATACTCCTGTTCTTCTTCTTCTCTTTCAGTCTCTATTTGTTCAAACTGGGACTCGCCCCTCAGATCCAAGATCTGTACGGAAAAGTGGACTTCACAGGTGAGACTCCAGACCCGGTCCAGACCCGGTCCAGACCCGGTCCAGACCCGGTCCAGACCCAGTCCTGGTCCAGACCCGGTCCTGGTCCAGACCCGGTCCTGGTCCTGGTCCTGGTCCTGGTCCTGACAGGTGTTTGTGTGCAGAGGAGGAGATCAACAACATGAAGTCTGAGTTGGAGAAATACGGGATCCAGATGCCGGCGTTTAGTAAAATCGGAGGAATCCTCGCCAACGAACTGTCAGTGGACGAAGCAGCACGTAAGAGCAGGAGGGGCACCTGACACACGTGGGAGGGCACCTGACACACGTGGGAGGGCACCTGACACACGTGGGAGGGCACCTGACACACGTGGGAGGGCACCTGACACACGTGGGAGGGCACCTGACACACGTGGGAGGGCACCTGACACACGTGGGAGCACCTGCGGGAGGGCACCTGGAGTAACATGTGTGTCTTCAGTTCACGCCGCCGTCATCGCCATAAACGAGGCGGTGGACCACGGCGAGCCTCAGGGAACCTTCTCCGCGCTGCAGAATCCAAACGCCATGTTGGTCCAGTTAGACCCAGACTCCGCCCACCAATACCAGGACACGCTGTTCCACGCCAAGAACGCCAAGGTCCAGAGCTCCAGGAAACGGGTGAGGACCGGGACCGAGACCGGGACCGAGACCGGGACCAGGACCAGACCAAGACCTGACTGAGACCAGACCAAGACCTGACTGAGACCAGACCAAAACCAGGACCAGGACACGCTGTTCCACGCCAAGATCGCCAAGGTCCAGAGGTCCAGAGGTCCAGGAAACGGGTGAGGACCAGGACCGAGACCGGGACCGAGACCGGGACCGAGACCGGGACCGAGACCAGACCGGGACCGAGACCAGACCGGGGCTACACTGGGACTAAACCAGCACCAAGCCAGAACCAGATTGGGACCAGAACTAAACCAGGACTAAGCCAGGACTGAAGCAGGTCTAGAGCAGGTCTAACCCAGGACCCGCTGTAGACCTGTTTGGCCCCAGGGTCTGGATCGATGGACCTGGACCTGGACCTGGACCTGGTCTGTGTCATTAAAGTGACAAACGACGAAGAATCTGACTCCAGGACAAAAGGAAAAAAACACAAACACCGAGAATGTGAGACCAGGACCAGGACTAAACCAGGACTAAACCAGGACTAGACCAGGACTAGACCAGGACTAGACCAGGACTAAACCAGGACTAGACCAGGACTGGACCAGGACTAAACCAGGACTAGACCAGGACTAGACCAGGACTAGACCAGGACTAAACCAGGACTAGACCAGGACTGGACCAGGACTAGACCAGGACTAAACCAGGACTAGACCAGGACTGGACCAGGACTAGACCAGGACTAAACCAGGACTGGACCAGGACTAAACCAGGACTAGACCAGGACTGGACCAGGACTAGACCAGGACTAAACCAGGACTAGACCAGGACTGGACCAGGACTAGACCAGGACTAAACCAGGACTGGACCAGGACTAAACCAGGACTAGACCAGGACTAGACCAGGACTAGACCAGGACTAAACCAGGACTAAACCAGGACTACAACAGGACTAAACCAGGACTGGACCAGGACTAAACCAGGACTAGACCAGGACTAAACCAGGACTAAACCAGGACTAGACCAGGACTGGACAAGGACTAGACCAGGACTAGACCAGGACTAGACCAGGACTAGACCAGGACTAGACCAGGACTAAACCAGGACTGGACCAGGACTAGACCAGGACTGGACCAGGACTAAACCAGGACTAGACCAGGACTAAACCAGGACTAAACCAGGACTGAACCAGGACTAGACCAGGACTAAAAGCCTGTATCTAGTCCAGGTCTGGAGCCTGGATCCTGCGGCTACACTTGATGACATCATAAAGTGCACTCAGGTGTAAAACGTTTATTTTATGTTTCAGCAAATGGAAAACGCCGACGCCGAACGTGACGTTTACGACGAACTTCTGACGCAGGCCGAGATCCAGGGCAACATCAACACGGTCAACAGTGAGTCCCACCTGACCCCGCCCACTTACACCTGACCCCGCCCACAACACACAAGACACCGCCCACTCACACCTGACCCCACCCACAACACACAAGACACCGCCCACTCACACCTGACACCGCCCACTCACACCTGACCCCACCCACAACACACAAGACCCCGCCCACAACACACAAGACCCCGCCTACTCACACCTGACCCCGCCCACAACACACAAGACCCCGCCCACAACACACCTGACCCCGCCCACAACACACAAGACCCCGCTCACTTACACCTGTGTTGATGGGCGCGTTTGGGCTCCATGG